ACCTTCAACCTGACTTTAACATTTCCGTTAAAGCCCAACAGAGACTAGACTTCTCTCACTAAACAAGAAAAAAGAACTGATAAACACCAAAGGAGATGTTTAGACTACAAATGTAGGCACGTAAAGAACCGGGACTCGAAATCACAGTACAAAGACAATATTGTGATATATTTACAAAGCTAAGAACTTTTTCCAGCAGTATATAAAACTCAAAACGAGTTTTGGGGTGAATGTGACTGAAAATGATCATTAATATAACGTCACAAATGGTAAAAATGTTAACAGTTTACCATTGTACTGGGAAATTTAATTGAATAAATGACATTTTTTTAAGGAAACCTCGCTTTTTCGTTGCTTAATCATAACAAATGCTCTTACCAGCTTGTTAAAACAGTGCTATGTACTGCGTTTAATAATGAAATACTATTATTATTATGCAGTATTGAGTTAAGTTGAAATCAGGTCTCTCTTGTAAATGAGTCCTCGAGGCTCAATGGGATTTACCTGTCTAAATAAAGGTTGAATGAAAAAGTCATTTGTGCCAGCCCTCCACAATATTTGTTGTTTCTCATGTGGCCCCATGGAAAAAATAATTGCCCACCCCTGATCTAAGGATACCCCAGACTCCAGAAAGTTGTAAGAAAGGACTGAAGACCATTTTATTTAAAATATTTTATAGTGCTTAAAAGTATTTTAATCTTGCTGTTTTATTTATTTATTTATTTTATTTAGTTTTTTAGCTTTTAACAATTTTTAGTCCTTTTTTAGTCCACATTGTATTCTCTTTAGATATTTTATATTGTAGCACTTTGAGATTGTAAAATGGAAAGTGCAGTACAAATTGAATAAATTATTATTAATAATAATATTATTATTATTACGAGATGTATTAGTTCCCAGAATGTGTTTAGGATGGTTCTCAGCTAGTGCCACATCAAGCAATTTTGCTTTGGCAGCAGGATCCCATAACATGAATTGGACTGATGGACTTTCTTCCACAATCAAATGTCTGTGGTGCAGGAAAAAAGCATAGATTTCAGACCCTATAACGATGTCATCTTTCTTTGTTAAAAACTGGTCTCTTGTAAATGAGTCCTCGAAGCTCAATGAGACTAAGCTGTATAAATAAAGGTTGAATGAATGAAAACAGATTTTGCTGCATTTAGTTATTTACAAAAAAAAATCAAGACATACATTAAGTAGTAAGTAGTAGTTTATTTTTGTATTTTTGTACATGTATATATGTATAGATGAGAATATTTACGTT